GCCGTCCCGTCCCGCGGCTCCCTGGTCCGGCCGCCCGCTTTGGCTGTTGGGATCCGGGCTCCGTGCGCCGTGCCGGCTCCTGCCGGGTCTCCCACGGGCCCGGTGGAGGAGGCTGAGAGCGGGACCTCTCCTGCTCTGTCCAGTCCTCCCCCCTCCCTGCTCCTCCCAGCCCCCTTTTGAATTCCCCGCTTGGCATCCGGTCCGCCCCTCCGCCGGCCGCCCTGCCGCCCCGGGGTCCTAGCACCGGCTGGCTATCCGCCTAGCCCGCCCGCCACATCGCGTTCGGTCCGGGGGCCGAGAGTGCGGGAGTGAGTCCCCCCGTCACACCCCTTCCCCCTGGTCTCTGGCGTCGCCTCCCCTGCCTCCTCCTGCTCTGTGCACCTGGACAGAAAGTCTACGTTAGTATGTTCCCGTCCCGCCCGGTGCGTTATTTTAAACGAATACTGCTGCAGAAACAGGCACCATCTCATTATGCGGGGATTAGCTTCTCTCATGTTATGCATCCATGTTAATGGTGCATGGTCTGGCACTAAAAGGAACGTATTGCCCAGGAAATAGTATCTCAATGCTTCTACGGCCCACCTAATGGCCAAGGCTTCCTTTTCTATGGTGGAATAGCGTTGCTCTCGTGGCAGTAGTTTGCGGCTCAGATATACAATCGCCTCCTCCTTTTTCTTGGGCTAAAACTGCCCCTAACCCTATATTTGATGCGTCTGTCTGCACCACGAAGGGTTTAGCAAAGTCCGGTTGCGCCAATACTGGCGCCATGACGAGGCACTGTTTTAGCTGCTGGAACGCCTCCTCGCATTGTGCCGTCCACCTCACCTTCTCCGGGTAGCCCTTTCTCGTCAGGTCTGTTAAGGGGGCCGCCCTCGTGGCAAACTGCGGGATGAACCTGCGGTAGTATCCCGCCAAGCCCAGGAACTGCCGCACTTGTTTCTTCATGGACGGTGCCTGGTACTTCTGTACCGCTTCCACCTTGCCCACTTGCAGTTTCAGGCAGCCCTGTCCTACCACGTAACCCAGGTACATCACCTCTGCTTGGCCGAATGCGCATTTGCTAGGGTTAGCCGTCAGCCGCGCCTCCTCTAATGCGTGGAGCACGGCTCGGACGTGGTTTAGATGTTCTTCCCATGATGCGCTAAAGATAATTATATCATCAATGTAAGCAGCGGCGTATGCCTGGTGGTCTCGCAGCACCTTGTCCATAACCCTCTGGAAGGTGGCCACCGCTCCATTCAACCCGAAAGGCATCATGAGGAAGTGGTATAGTCCTGACGGGGTGGCAAAGGCGGTCTTTGCCTGTGATGCTGGTGTGAGTGGGATCTGCCAATATCCTTTGGTCAGATCTAATGTTGACAGAAACTGCGCCTGTCCCAGTCTCTCCAGCAATCCCTCTACCCGGGGCATCGGGTAGGTGTCCATTTGGGAGATGGCATTCACCTTTCTAAAATTGATGCAGAATCGCAGGGTCCCGTCCCGCTTGGGGACGAGTACAATGGGGCTTCGCCAGCTGCTCCTGGATTCTTGTATGACTCCTATCCGTAACATCTTGTTTACCTCATCTCGCACCGGGTCCCACATCTTTCGTGGCAAGGGCCGGAGCGGCTCCCGAACCTTCTGTCCGGGGGCAGTCTGGATATGGTGGTAGCCCACTCTCGTTTTCCCCAGCCAGGTTGACAGCACGGCTGTAAATTCTCGCAATAGGTTCCTCATTCCCTCCTTCTGGGGCTCTGTCAATCCCCCTCCCAGGGCCGCCTCCATCCCGGCGTCCTCGATATCGCCGCCCCAGGGTCCCAGTTCCGGCTCCAACCTTTGCAGGCTGACCATCAGGCCTTCTTGTTCTTTCCATTCTTTCAACAAGTTTACGTGGTAGATTTGGGCCCCCTTTCGCCAGTTGGGGAGTTTGATCTCATAGTCGACCGGGCCCACTTGCCGAAGGACTTCATAGGGGCCTTGCCATTTTGCTAGTAGTTTTGATTCTGCCGCTGGTAGTAGCAGCCGGGCCCCTGCCCCCAGAGGGAAGGC